AAAATTAGGGCTTTCTCCTCCAACAATTAGCGTGAGCCACACGAGGGCAGTGATGTTAGTTATCCCAGAGGAGCTGTGAACCCTCCCCAGCTCCAGCCAGTCACTTCCATCTAATCCCTACATCCCTCCCACTCCCTAAAAACACCCCCCTCCACCACTATTTTACCTTGTTGCAGTGAATTCTTGGCTTGAACTGTGGGAGACAGACGTTTATGACCATCTTGGCAGCTGGAGAGGGGTCACTTTCTGAGCATCAGATTCAGCTTGTTAAAAAAAAAAAAAAATCAGAAATAAAGGCAGTGAATAACCATGAATAGTGAAAGGACCTCATGTTTAGGAGCCAGGATGAGCTTGGGAATTCCTAATATGCAGTTCAGATCTGATTCCAGGAGGTGAAGCCAATATAAACCCAAAGATTGTGGTGGAGAGAAGGGATTGAGAGAAAAAAAAAAATCACATTAATCAGTGAACCCCTGGAGAAACATCAGAGAGAAAATGCCTACTTTAACTAAAAAATACGGACAGACCAGCAACTGGATCTGAAAATTTATCAAAGGTGCAGGAGGTTTTGTAGATACAATAAAGCACCAACACAGCACACGAGGCTGCCTCAGGAGTTGGTGGGAGCCAAGATTAACCACAAATATCAATAATCAGTGTTAAATACCTCCAGGAGAGCAGAAGGGCACCAAGCAGCTCTGAGGGAGAGATATCTGAGTTCTGAGCACCATCAGCTGATTCTCCTGCCAATGGCCCTTTAAAGAAACTCAAGTGAACACACCTTGTTTTCCACTGGAATGTGGCTGGAATTGGCTCTATCTGATCCCTCTTAAGAATGAAATTATGTGTGAGGTAAGAGCTTTAACCTCACATTAACCCCAATTTGAACATGTCACTGCCTTGGGCAGCCCTGCAGGTCAGGAGCTCGCTGCCTCCTTCAGGAGCCAGCGGCTCTTTTCATGGTTTTCAGCTGAAGTCGTTAGTTCAGCCCAAATGAAACTGGCCTTCTGGGGGCACCCCGGTGCTGCCAGGGAAAGGCAGAGTTAATGAGCTGCATCTGAGAGGAGGGAGGTGGAATCTCAGCTGCAGATCCCACACATCAAACCCCAACACGATATGGAACCCAGTTACGATGCCAGTGCTTGACCAAAGCGGCGTGACCCGAACCAGAGGTGTAACAGGGCAGGTGAGCAGCCCTTCCATCCCAGTATTTGGTCTGGCAGCCATCAGGAACGATTCCTGCTGCTCACCAGGGAACACAGGACCAGGACAAGCACAAACCAACTCTCCCCCAGCACTCCTTTCTGGGTCTGAGAGGCTGCCAGTGGGGAACTGGTCAAACAGGCTTTTAAACTGGTTTGACTTTTGGGCATCCACACCTTAAGAGGAGAAAACTGAGGGGGATTAACTACAAGTTCTGCCTCAAAACTGCCCCTTCTGGTTCACTTTGAGCCAAACTGAATTTACCAAGTGGTAAATTCACTTGGCCCCCAGCACTGGTGTTGCGAAAGGTGGCAAATCAGCTCTCTTTCTTGGGAAAACTCAAGCTTCTCCCTCTGTTCTCTCTCTCTCTCTCCTCACATCTCTTTCCTGGGCTTTTCTCCTGTGGCATAAGGATATTCAGGTATGCTTTATAGGATTTTCTCCTACCTGTCTGTGACCCTGACAGGCTTAAACAACTCTGGTTATTTTTCCAGGTTCAACACCTCAGGAAGGAAAGGGATTATTCTCCACGTCTGACTCACTGCTCTCCCTTCTACTGAAAAGTTCTGCCACAGACTTCATGGCAAAAATTGGTCACCAAGTTGCTTTCACCCATGGCTGTGTTTTTTTCCCCACTCTCTTGACTGTGAACCTTCCCTAAGGTGCACAAAAACCCCTCACTGAAGCAGTGAAATGCAGACCTGAAGGACTGTGCTTTCTACTTTTCCGTGCCAGCAAAATCCTCTGCGGTCTTGGATAAGGAATTTTAAAGCAGGCTGTCTGGAGCTCACCACAAGGTGATTCCTGGTGTCCTACAGGCGACTACGGAGCTGCTGCCATAAGGAATGCGCGTGGTGGACACCAAACTGAAGTCCTTGGAGGACGAAATGAATGTTTCAGAGTTTGAGCACCCCAACTTTCTCAGCGCTCAGCACCCACACCCTGTCCTGCTAAAGGAGAACCCCAGACTGTGCCCTCCAGCCCCAGCTTGATGGTGATGGGAACAGCGAGGAAACGAGTGTGTTCCTGGCACTCAGCTCAGCTTCATCACTAAATACTCTCTCCCAAATATCGGTGCCCCTGCTCTCACAGAGCCACCCCATCCATCCACTCCGATTTAGGGCGGAAAAAGGAGTAACCACAGAGAAAAAAATGAACTGTTAGCAGGTTTTATTTGTCGTGGGAGCGTTTGAGGATTTGGGTACAAAAAGGAGAGCGCAGAACTGGCCACGCAGCGAGGCCCAGAGCACCTGCCAAAGGCTGACCCATCACTCAGAGACCAGTTTAACCAGTAACCAGCAGCAGGCAGGCACTGGGGAGGCTCTGAGCCAGCCCCACACCCCCACTCCCCCCCCAACCCTAGGCAGCCCTGCTGAGCAGCGCCGGGTTGAACACTTTGTAGTGGAGGTAGCTGAGCTTCTCGGAGCGCGAGCGCCGCAGCAGAGGGAACCACTCCCAGAAGGGCAGCTCCACCACCACGTAGCCCAGGCGCCGCAGCTGCCGCCGCTTCAGGCAGTGCAGCCCCAGGAGCCGCTTGGAGCTGTAGCAGTAGTGGTTCCTGTTGGACACCTGCAGAGCCAGCCTCACCTCCCCAGGCTGAGGGAGGGATGGGGGGACCCCGGGACAGCGCCCTGCTTGAGGCTCAGCTGGTGATTTGGCCCCTGCAGTGAGAGCCCCGTCCGAGCGCGGCATTCCCGCTTCATCCCCTCTCTCCTGCCTGGCAGTCCTGCCTTCATTTTCCACGTCCACGGGAGACGGGCCACGAGCTCTGCCCTTGATGAGCTGAGCCATCAAGTCATCTGTCAGACTGACCCCGATGTCTTTGAGCTTGCTGGCTGCCACAGGACCCTTGAAGTTGAAGGGGACGGGATGCCCGTCCGTGGCCAAACGCACCTCCAGGTCGCTGGACCTCGTGTGTGGCAAGATCATGTGGTTCCTGACGTACTCGGGGCCCCCCAACATGCTCTCCAGGAGGGACGTGGCCTCCACGATTTCGGGCCTAACGTAGATCTCCTGCTCTGCAAAGCTCAAAGCCATCTGGGTGAACTCCTGGCAGAGCTGAGGCGGGAGGCGGTTGCCTCGGTAGGTGGGGCACTCGATTTCAACGCTCTTCCCAAGGGTGAACAGGTCCTTGCTGAGCTCATATTTGCTGTCCCGTGTTTTCTGGATGAAATCCTCCCTCAGGGCATAGTCTATCAGCTCCTCTGGGAAGCGTTTGACAAAGGCCAGGCCGAGCAGAGCAGTGAGGAGGTGCTCTGGAAACTTCTTAAATTCGTGGAGTTTCCTATGGATCTGCTTTATCAGGCTGGAGTAGAACTCCTCCTCGTTGGGAGGCTCATAGTCCAGGCACCCAAACGACCACAGGAACTTGGCGGCGTCTTTGCTCCGGCAGTAGGACACCCTGGGAGGCAGCGACGCGGCCACGGCAGCCAAAGCACCCTCGTCAAAGTAGTGCAGGGATGAATAGGTAAGAGTGATGTGCATGATGCCCTGGATGTTCACGGTAGGAATCCGCTCGGGAATCACCTTCCCGAGCTCCTTCAGGAGGGGCAGGTGGTCCATGCGGGTGTAGCGGAGCATCTTGAGCACGTTCACCAGGGCGTAGGTGCTCATGTCCTCCATCTGCAGGGACACCCTGTCTGCAATCCTCCTCATGACGTGGTCGGAGATGCCGCTGACGGACTTGAAGAGCCCCAGGCAGATGGCTCCCAGCTCCTCCAGGGTGAAGGAGTCCAGGTACTTCAGGATCGTGCTCTCCACCTTCTGCGCCAGGTCCGCGGGCGCCCGCCGGCCCTCGCCGATGATGTAAACGAGCTGCACAAACTGGGGTAGGGTGAGGTCCTTCCAGTGCAGGTTGGCAAAGCTGAAGAGGATGCCGAGGTAGGAGGGCACGCTGCGCTCCAGGCAGCGCCAGCAATCCGCCACCAGCAGCAGCTGCTCCAGCTCCATGTCCCACGCCCGCCGGCAGAACTCGCCCTCGCACGCGTCCAGCAGAGGGTGGGCGGGTGGGACAGCCAGCAGGACACAGGACTTTAGAACTTGGATGAGATCTGGAGTGCTGAAGAGCCCGATGGCTTGGACAGCACAGTGACACAGGGCATCAAACCCAGGCTCGGATGCCAGCCCCGCGCGCCGCTCCACCGGCAAACGGCTCAGCCTCTGGAAGCGATCCGTGATGGATCCTGGGCTGCCCTCACACGCAGCCACACTATCCAAAATGGAGTCACCTTCCTCTGCAGGGAGGGGCTGTGCTGGCTCAGAGCTGTCACAGCTCAGGGATCTGTACTCAGGCCTCCCCTTCTGAAACACCCGCGGGTCCTCCTTGGAGTCGTGCACCTCCCACTTCTCCTTCTCCGCCTCGGACAGCGCCGCCAGGATGGTCTGCTGGAGGAGTGTGTTGGACTTGGACTTGGACGGGGCTCTCCTGAGGGGTGGCAAAGTTCGGGAAGAGGCAGCAGGGAACGCCTGTGGAGCCTGTGCAGCGCTAGGGCTGGTGAGCGTGTCACCGAGGGCCTGGCCGCTGTCCCTATCCAGGTGCTGCTGGGAGCCAGCTCTGCCTCTGGCATAGGCAGATGGATTGTACAACACTCTGTAGTCCAGGGGGTTCAGCAGCTGGATTGTAGCCACGGGTTCGCTCCCAGTGCTGGCTGTTCCTGGGTTATCCTTCTCTTCCTGCTCGCTTTTGCTGCTCCCATGCTCGGCCCCGCGCTTGGCTGTGGTCGAAAGCGCTGCTGCCCTGCTCAGCCTGGGAATTCTTCGGCACATGAGCACTGTAGCCATGGATCACAACTTTACTGGGCTCTGAACTGCTTCCAGGTACTGCAAAAAGGGCAGACGGAGAGTGAGTGGCCTCCACCTCACAGGCAGTACCTGTTCATTTATCCTTTATGCTACAGACAGTGAGGAGGCGCCGGAGTTCCCCCTGGATGGGGCAGCTGGTTCCCTACGGATGGTCACCTCACGCAAAGCCACGGCAGGACAAGCACCCAAGTGACCAGAACTCGGAGTACAAGGCAACTCAGGTGTCACCTGACACTCAGCAGACACAAAACTACCTGGCACAGACTGTGACAGTTA